ATTAAATTATTATGTAAGAAGTATTAAAAGTGTTAATAGTAAGTAAATTTTAATGACTCGATTTATTTCTGTTCAGTTAACGAATCTTATTCAAAGTGAGAAATTCACTTTATCACTTTATAGAATTTCTTAATAAACCATTGTATTTAAGAAAATATATTCTGAAGGTATTTCCAGATAACGAATTTTTATGTAGTGAATATCTACATCAGTTTAGTGTAAACAATTACTTTATTACATGCTATGCTGAAAATATACAAAAAAAAAAAAAAAAAAAAAAAAAAAAAAANAAAAAAAAAAAAAAAAAAAAAAAAAAAAAAAAAAAAAAAAAAAAAAAAAAAAAAAAAAAAAATGCAATTTTTGATGATGTGAAGAACGAATCACAAATGAATATAATAATTGAATGGCTTCGGTGCAAAAGGTGATAGGCCTTACAAAGAAGAATTTAAGAAATATCACATTTAAACCTTTAAACAAACCTTGAATTGATATGTAAAGATTTAAATGTAAAATTTCTTCTTGGTTTGGCTTATCACCTTTTGCACCTAAGCCATTCAATTGTAGGTTTGCTTTTTTGTATTGGAGTATCCCAAGAAGGGACATTTTTTCATACATATTTAAAAAAATTAATTCTTATAAGAAATATTTTCTAACTATTTCGAATTTTCAATTTCTTATGTTTATGCATTCAAAAAGTGTATAAATCTTTTTTAAGCAAATTTTGATTAGGTCCTAATTTCAATATTGATATTAATTTTATTGATTTAATTAAGGAAAAAACAAACGATTCTTTGCATCAAAGAGAAAATTTGAAATTACAGTACTTTCCAGTACATAATTTACCACAAAGATCAAATATATGAAAATTATGTCTTAATCTATAAACTTTTAAATTAAATACTTTACATGATAGATAATATTAAGACAATTGTGACGATGTCCATATTAATTAAAATAAGAAATATTAATATTAACATCCCTTATTATAAAGCATCTAAACGAAGATTTAAAATTATGTGATGGAATGCATTGAAATTTCAGCATTTCAATATGTTTTTGGAGAAAATTATTCAAAAGTATATTATAAACTACAGAAAAGAAAATCTTTGACAGTATAATATATAAAGTAAATGCTTTTTGTATAAGAGTTTTACAATACAGTATATACTAAGTGTTGGCAATTTAAGATCCCGGAATAACTTACAATAAATATTTTTATGTATATTATAACTATGATTATTAGTCGGATAAATATTATAACATTTTAATGTTTAATAATCGTATATTTTTAATTCTGTTGTTATCTTAATCTTGGATTATTAGTTGGATTATTTTTATATTAATAAAGTCGTATTTTATTTTTATTTATTATTTACGTTTTAAATTTATACTATACATTTTAACAATATTCTATTGAATATTGTTGTTATTAACTTATTTATTGATTAGATTAACGCGAGATAACAGTATAAATTATATGGCCAGCCACAATTTCGCCTGTTACAGTCCATTCTGACCACACAATAATCAGCATAGGTGAGGAATGACGTCCCTAATCCGTACTACTCATCAATAGCGTATCGTCATAAGGGATATGGAAATAGATTTATTTATTTATTTATTTTTAATATTTGATTAAAAAGCTGTATGTCCTCGCCCTCCCTCGATTCCCATAATTTATCATAGACAACATCGGCATATTTGGGAAGCAAGAGGACATATCAACAATTAAAAATAAACAAATAAATAAAATTTCAAAAATACAAAACACCCTTTATTTCTAAAATATATTTTTATATAAACTATCATAATCGTATGACATTAGAAACAATTTCATAATTCGACAGAAGTTTTCTACACGTTTGATATATTTAATGTCCAATGATTCCAATAATTTAACTTTTCCCAATTTTCTTCGATGTACCGAAGTTATTTCTTCAAGAAAATAATAAATGTTTGTAGTCATACGTACTTTTCTTAATGAAAACTGTACCGCAAAACAGGACAACTCAGAAGTGAAGCCAGATTTATAGGTAATTTGCAAATTAACTGTTGATAAACATCTACCAGAGAAAACGTTCATAGAAATATTGAAATAATNGTCCCTTTGAGGCCCATTTTGAGAGTAAGGAACAGCTTAAAAGTCACTGGGAGTAAGATCTGGAGAATAAGGTGACTGGGTGATGACAGGAATGCTTTTATCTCATGCACTGACATGTCTCATCTTCAGATCCTCGGAAAGAATTGCATGAATGGATCCGTGAGAGATACCAACTTCTTGCTCCAACTCAGCGATGGTTATTCTTCGATCATTTTTAGTCAGTTCTCGAACTTTTTCAATGTTTTCTCCACTTCTGGATGTTGAAGGTCTCCCGCTGCGTTTGTCATCCTCCAACATCTGTCCGTTTTTAAACCAGCCAAACCAATCGTAATCTGCAGATTTCTTTAGTGTCTTATCACCGTAAATTTGCTGCAGGGCCGAAAGTATCTCTACAACAGTTTTCCCCAATTTGCACATGATATTTACATGCTGCTCAAACTGGGACATTGCGCCGAATGATAAGCAGTCACATCCAACAAAGACGATTGTGCAAGTCTAAACTTGCACGAGCATTATCACACTGCAAATAAACATGCTGAGCTTCCCGCCACATGCATAATCTGTAAGGTGTAAACGAAAATTATTAAATCAAAATATTCATAATATATGATCCGAAAATAACTTGAGAATTGTAAATAGATTAATAGAGTATATTATAAATATAAAGTTATAAAACAGTGGTATATGAGTGAAATGTGATTGATAGAAACGAAGATAATCTTAGTTAAGACAATTTGTATTAAGTTTAATAAAATTTCTACACAATTTTTTTCATGAAAAATAACTCCGTTTAAGATTTAAAGCGTTTTGTCAACTTATCTGTTTTTGTTCAGCTATTTTTGGTCTATTTTTGAATGAATGTCTACCCAGCAATTTCTATTCTTTTATTTGATTTACTTTACTCATCAGTTTATTCCGCTAGCCTAATAATAAACTTAGGAGAGACGTATAAACAGATGGAGAAATAAAATTACTGATCGGTCTTCATCTTCTTTTATTATCATAACTTTAATTCCTCAATCTTGCCTCAGTTATATATCCGGTTCGTAACTATTGTGAGATCCTACATATTGATTGGTTTTCCTATCTCTAAGCATCAACCCTAGCATATTTCTTTTTATTTTATTTTTCTAGATAACACGTAGTTTTATTTACTGTACATAATCTATTGTTAAATTAATACGGAGGGGCGTAAGTACTGTACAAGCTAAATATACATTTTCTAGTTTGAAGAGTTATATAATTATCAGTTAGTCTATCAGATTCTTGGCATATATGTGTAAGAGTATATTATCTCCTCTCTATATCTTTATTAAGTAAGCGATTTAAGATAGTTTTCATCCTCGTCATTGGAATTAAAATATATTCATCTGAATTAAATTTACATTATCAAACTTTAGAAAGAGTGATCAATTTTGATATTTTTTAATTTCATCCTAAAAAGGAGGCAACTTCATTGTTATTCTCTGTGAGAATAATAGCATTATACTGCTTACCTATTACCTTATAAATAATAATTTCTGTATTTACTTTTAAAACAACAGAATGCTCGTAATTTTATTAACATGTATTAGATAGTATAATTCTGTCAAATTCTCTGCAAAAACAATTAAATATAATTAAAACAAGCACTGTCAAAAACCAGATTCTAGGCTTGTTTTGCACATGATATTTGCATGCTGCTCAAATATTTAGATTAATTTATTCAAAAAACATAGCTTTGTCGTTAATAATTATATTATTTCCCTTAATTAATTAATTTGATAGCCAAATAATTATCGAGTTAAGAATGAAAATATTTCCATAGCTAAGATTACTTAATAAAAAAGGCTAATTCTATTTTACAATAAATTATAATATATATAGCTTATGTAGTGTTTAAAGTAATAAAATAAATCGAGACGCTTTATAATTTATTAACATCGAATGGTTAAAAAATTCGAATTATTAAATGTATGTGCCTTTCTCTCTTTGGGAGAGTCATACAAATTTAATAACTTGAAACTTTATAATCATTCAATTGATAAATTACAAAACATCTCGACTTACTTTAATAGTTTAAAACTTATTTTTTTAATTTTATTTGGATAATATCGTCGACGCAATTGTTCGATTGTTATATTTCTGTTTTTTTTTGTATTATGATAAACTTTGTTTTTTTGTATTTAACACTATCAAATCGATAGCAAAATTTAAGCTGTATTTAGTTATGCATTACGAATAAAATTACATATAATTTTAAGAAATTTGTTTATTGGCCTTCAATTTGAAAAAATTGTAGTCTTATTAATTTCCATTGTCGTCCATCCGTCCGTCTGTCCATCCGTCTTTCCTTAATCTCGAGAACGGAGTTAGATAAATGAAATCAGAGAGAGATATGGAAATATTAGAGGTGTGAAGCCCCGATTAACTAAATATGAACGTCTGGTACAAACCAGAAGTCACGTTATTTTAATTCAAAAATTTTCCTCTGAAAGGTGTTAGATGGATGACCGGCACGATTCTATTATTAAAGGAAAAGTATGATGTACAGTACAGGGACAAGACACTACTAATTTGAGGTGGTGAACATATACGAGGGGCAGTCAAAAAGTTCCTGGAATTGTGATCCTGCACTGTAGTGGCATGAGATATGGCAATGCAGACCTAATCACCTTCAAAGTAGGCCTCTCCCGCACAGACACACTTATTCCAACGATCCTGCCACTGTTGAAAGCAGGCATGAAATTCTACCTTTGGAATCTTCCGAAGTTGGGCCGTCATATTCGATATTATGTCCTCCTTGCTTGCGAAATGCGTCCCTTTGAGGCCCATTTTGAGAGTAAGGAACAGCTTAAAAGTCACTGGGAGTAAGATCTGGAGAATAAGGTGACTGGGTGATGACAGGAATGCTTTTATCTCATGCACTGACATGTCTCATCTTCAGATCCTCGGAAAGAATTGCATGAATGGATCCGTGAGAGATACCAACTTCTTGCTCCAACTCAGCGATGGTTATTCTTCGATCATTTTTAGTCAGTTCTCGAACTTTTTCAATGTTTTCTCCACTTCTGGATGTTGAAGGTCTCCCGCTGCGTTTGTCATCCTCCAACATCTGTCCGTTTTTAAACCAGCCAAACCAATCGTAATCTGCAGATTTCTTTAGTGTCTTATCACCGTAAATTTGCTGCAGGGCCGAAAGTATCTCTACAACAGTTTTCCCCAATTTGCACATGATATTTACATGCTGCTCAAACTGGGACATTGCGCCGAATGATAAGCAGTCACATCCAACAAAGACGATTGTGCAAGTCTAAACTTGCACGAGCATTATCACACTGCAAATAAACATGCTGAGCTTCTACATGCATAATCTTATATTATATCGCATTTTCTAACTGTGGGTAAATTCCGGGAACTTTTTGACTGCCCCTTGTATTTTAAACGCATACTTTTAAAAATATATAAATAATAGACTATTTAAAAATTGATAAATGTTATACTATTGATAGAAAATTAAAAGTTGGACTTTCTCGTTTAATAAGCAACACTTAGGCTACATTTGGTTCTTTCAATACTTATATAAATTATCTTGACTTTGCTTCAAATAACAAATCTATTTGATAAATGAATATGTTCTATTATTTATTTAAAAATTTTTAAATTAAATCTTATTAATTTAAATTAGATTTCTGTTGAGATGCATAGTGTATGATAATATCAATAGTTTCTTCCTCCATGAGAACAGTTCACTAACTCTAAATTCATGTTTATAAACTTGTCACAAAAATAATATAAAGATATGAGGTAATTATTTTATAGAATAGAGTTATGTACTTAAAGCCGACATAATTTAACAATTAATTGTAGATTATGCATATATAAAATCATTTGATAAGTTAATATATTATCTTAGATTTTCAAAATTATATATTGGTTTACAAAATGTAAAAGTAATTTATATAAAAAATAATTTTTTATGAAATAATTCCTTCGCATTAAATCGACAAGATAGTTATAAATGTGACTGTAATGAATTCTATACTAAACCAAAACGAAACATGAAAAATTGGTTAAAGCATATCAGTCCTAGTTATAGGGTAGCATGCTATCTATAAATAAATCATAGGTAAGCGATTTATTTATAGATAGCATGTTACATGATACCTATACCTAAATCTATTATTATTTACAACAATATTTTTGAAAATTGAAAAATGGATAATTAGTAGCATAAATAAGTTAAATATATAAATAAGTCTACTAAAAGTTTGAGATAAAATTCGAGTATTTCTGAAATTTCAGTGAAAATATTCGTTTTATTCATCTCGTTTGACAGTATTAAACAAACATAAAGGAAATAAAATGAATGAAAATAAAATATTTTGGTATAAAGTAGTCTACATAATTTTATCTTATATTTATATTATTATTTTCAAACAATTTTATAATTAATTTTAAATATTCGGAAAACAATTTATAAATGATAAACAATATTAATTAACTGTATAGATTAAGAAGTTTAAATCCTTATTTAAACTATATTTTTATACTGTATTTACAATGAAGCATGGATTTTTTTAATATCCTTAGTCCCTTTATTTTTGTACTAATGATATTAAAAAAGCCATGCTTTATTCTAAATATAAAAATCTAATGGTAATTAATATTATCAAAAACTAAGTTACTGGAAAAATCTATTGGTAAAGACAGCTACAAAATATGTCACTATCGGCAAGTAAAAATAAAATTTGAATTCAAGTTTTCGAAAATTAACGAAAAATAAGACTTCTAAGACGTAATAATAATAATACGTAAATATGTCGTAATCAATCATAAGTATTCTTGAATCCAATATTTGACTTCCGGGATATACAGTCACTCAACAAACAAATTTGAAAAGAGCTCTTCGTGTGATTGTTGCAAAAGAATAAAGAGGTTGACAACTTTGCACATATGTTTAAAAAAACAACAATTCTTATGTGATAAAATACAAATTAATGGCGAAAATTTACAGACCTACCTACACGGATAATATTTGTTTTATTTTTTTTAGAATCTTTATTAACGTTTATTATCTTCATGATTTTTTTTCATATAAGAACTTTGATTTACATTGCATTCGTTATACGTAATTGTAATGTCCTGCACTGTAGTGGCATGAGATATGGCAATGCAGACCTAATCACCTTCAAAGTAGGCCTCTCCCGCACAGACACACTTATTCCAACGATCCTGCCACTGTTGAAAGCAGGCATGAAATTCTACCTTTGGAATCTTCCGAAGTTGGGCCGTCATATTCGATATTATGTCCTCNCAGACCTACCTACACGGATAATATTTGTTTTATTTTTTTTAGAATCTTTATTAACGTTTATTATCTTCATGATTTTTTTTCATATAAGAACTTTGATTTACATTGCATTCGTTATACGTAATTGTAATGTAGAACTTTTTTTATAAGATCTTGTTCAATAAAATCATTTTTTATAACATACTAAATTTAAATCTGGAAATTAAATTGATAATTTAGTAATATAACTATTTATTATATTGTAATAGATTACTTATTTACTATTAATAATTACTTTATAAAATTTCATATCCACTCAAAATTTAGTTAATATAAAAATCTAATTTACGAATCTACATTACAGTAATTTTATTTGCAAGTATTTATTTTTTCTTTTTAAAATTTTTTCATCTACCAATAAATGGAGTTATATCAATAGACATTATTAAACTATATCAATCCCCCAGGATAGAATATCAATCTTGTAGGCCTATATCAATAAACGATTTAATCATAAAAATAAAAAATAAAAATTCGATCATTGTGTTATCGAGTTAATTAGATAATGTTACATGTTTATGAATAGGCCACATATTGTTTCGGTTTATAGAAATTTTGTTTAAGATCGTTTTTATTGATATTTGCTGAATAAATTCGCAACAATGGCATGAATTAGTGGCAAAAAAAGAGAGGATAAAGCAATCAACCAGACGATCTTTACCTGACACTATAGCATAAGAGAGAAGTATATGGCGGGGGTCATACACAAATCAATTAATGGATGTACGGTGACGTCAAAAGAGCCAACGAATATCGATTATGTGTGAGCCATTAAAAGCCTCAGACGAGAGTATTATATTTCTGCACTACATTAAACCTAACTTCACTTAGTGACGTTCCCACTTGATCATCAAGTATTCATGGCGGCGAAGAGGAGGTTTGCGTATCCCGTGATGCCTTTAGCATCGATGTTAGAACCTGCAATGATAAATAATTGAATGACACCAGAAAGCTAGTTTGAACAATAGACACAAAGAAAGTGCACTTCAATAGAACCGAATATGGAACAATGACTGGGAAACAAAGCTGCATTTCCAGAGTAATTGTCCACAACATTTTCGCTAAGACTCCATTCTCTTCTATTTCACACGTCACTAAAGTGAGGTGATGGTGAATCTCTGTCTCGCATTATTTATTCATCTTTCTTTCCAGTTACGTGGGAAAAAAGTTTGACACATTCTTTTAAAATGCAAATATTACTCCAATTTTTTTTTAAATTTCTGGAATGAAGTCTACCTCTCAACTTTTTCACAGAAATGAGCTTTCAACTTTAGGCCAATTTTAAATGTATTAATTAAATTTATGAAGACGATCTAGTTAATAATAGTTTCAACTTATTTGAGAAATACAGAAAGATATGACTTAAATATCATATATCACAATCTCCTAATCTAAGAGTGTATAAGACCTATCTACTCGTATTTAATTTTATCGCGATATGTAAATCATCTCATTTTAAATTGCTTCTATAAAAACACATAAAAATATATAAATATATTTATTCATAACGTTATTAAAAATCAATTATAAGTGTTTCAATTATAACTAATGCTTCACAAGATTAATTTCAGTCTAATATAAAATGATGAAATCGTTAAGTTTCACCTAACATGTATGCTCGATACTTGAACTCGACCAATCATTTGGGTATCTAGGTCATGATTTTAATAAGTTTATAATTTATTTATTACCATTTAATATTTTTTCAAAAGTATATAAAAATTTTTCACATAAACTTATTTTTATACTTCAAAACTGATCTTAAAATAAAATTTAAAAATTTGCTGTTCAGTAAAATCGTTGTTAATTAATTAATTGTTGAGATCGCGATTAATTATTAAAGTATGATTATTAATTTAAAGTTTAAACTAATTCCATTTTATATAATAAAATTATAAATATTGAAAATATTATTTAAATGTACTTATATTAATCTTGAACGTTGGAAACAACGTTTCGAACAGTTTCATAAGTTTTCCTTGTACAGTACAAAGTGAATGATTAGAAATTGTATAAATTATTCAAATAGCTACACTGAAACAAATATTAGTTTATAAGTCTCCAATATTTACTCTATTAACGAAATTTATATTATTTAACATTTAAGAGATTAAAGGACTTTCCATAAAACATAAGACAAATAATGGAATGTGAGACAGTTGTGTCAGGAATCTGTAAGCCACGCCTCTATCTTCAAATCAACCAATAAGAGAATTCCTCAGTGTTTATCAGCAAGTATTGTTACGACGACAGAAAATCATGACACTAAAAGACGTCCTATCATTGGTTATCATTGCTGTTATAAATCAGATAGATGATCTTTCATTCACTTTATTACCTGATATCAGAGGAAATGGGTAAGATTTATTTTTGCTTTTTATATCTCACAGATTTAGCTTATTATTAATTTAATAAATAATTATAAAAATAATTTAGGTCGCACTTTACCAATTCCTGTACCCTGTAAAGTTTGTGGAGATAAATCTTATGGTAAACACTATGGTGTATATTGCTGTGATGGTTGTAGCTGTTTTTTCAAGAGAAGTATCCGAAGAAGAATCGTTTATACCTGCATAGGTAAGTATTGTGATATAAATATAATAAATTACTCGCGAATTTTATTAATATCATTTTATTTCTAGCCGGAACGGGAAGATGCTTAATTGACAAAGCCAGGAGGAACTGGTGTCCGTTTTGCAGATTACAAAAGTGTTTTTCAGTCAGCATGAACAGAAACGGTATTTTATATTTATTCGATTTTTTAAAATATTATTTTAATTAATTCTTATACAAAATTAAATATCAGTATTGTAAAACTTTCATGCATTATCTATATGATAAGTCTATTATTTGAGATATAAAATAAAATCTTCATTTTAAACTTAATTATAAAAGATCATGGATTATATGAATTAATTTGTAAACGTGAACTAAATTTTTGATTATTAAAAGAAGACTTACACGAATGATATCAATTTGTTTAAAAGATTTTAAATATTTATCCTATAATATTTTATATTTTAAGATTATTTTATTCTCCTTTTATAACTACTAAAATATCTCCTTATAAAATATACTCCTTCTAAAATATATAGGCTACTAAATAATTATACCGTGTAATGAAATTTATTTCTACTTCATTATGACTAGAAGTAAAACATTTTATTTATCTTCTCTTCATTTAAATTTCTGTAGAAATTAGACTTGAATATTTGATAAATAGATTTTAAACACATTGTACTTTTAATTTACACTAAAATATATATATATATATGTAAATTAATTTATCTAAGCCAATAAAACGTAAATTTTTACATATATTCTTCGAAAATAAAGTTTATTCCAACTTAATAAAACTTTGTTTGCGATTAAGGAAATTAAAAAAATAAACTTCATTTATTGTTTTAGATTTTAATTAGTTCTATAACTGTTATAGAATTTAAAAGCAAACCCTAACAGTTCTATAGACTATATTTCGGAATTAGCATAGTTATTTGCAACTTATTTACCGCTGAATTTAAGTATTAAAAGAGGATTTTTACAAACATCAGAATTTAGAAAAAGAAAAACTTATAATTCACTCCAAAATTTTTCGATGTTGTTAAATTCTCAATAGAAGAACATTTCGATTATTTATTTATTCCTTATAACTTTAAGAAAAAGTTGCTTAAAGTTTTCTTTAAGATTTACGAGAAGAATAAACTTAAACACTCAAATTTACTTTATAGATTAATTAGCTGGTTATGGCTTCATACTATATTATAAATAAATTTTAATCTAATAATTCTCTATAATGAATTAGATTAAGTTTACTTAAACTATTTATTTTTGTTAATTTAAGTTTTACTAAATGTTATATCTACAATGTATAAGTCTACAATCGAATTTCGGTTATTAAAATAAACGTTAATCAGTTATATTTTGAAATAATTCTAAAGTTATATTTATCTTTTCCTTTTAAGTAATTATTCTAAAATCTACATATTTATGTAAGTAATTAAGCTTAAATCAACTTTCGATATTTTTCTACAGAGTTGAAATTAAAACAAACGATAAGAAAAATTTTAAGTTAAAATATTTGCTTATTAATTTTACAATTAGTAAAGTTAAAAATAATGTTCCGATTTATGAAGCCTTTTTTCATTTGTTATAAAAAATAAGTAATAATTTGTTCAAAAATTCCAAATAAAAGTATCTCGAAAACTTTTTAAGTTATTTAACAATATAGATTTAATTGAAACGTCAATTAAGAAAATTAACTTAAAATTACTTGAATTATCATTAATTTTTACTTTACAAAAATAATCTTTAATAAAAATAATCACTTTTAATTCAAAATTTACGTCTAGTTTATTAAAACTATTTTCTCTTTTCTTTTTTCTTTTTTATTTGATTTAGACTTCTATGTCCAATAAATTATACAAATACACAATTTACATAAACTTTATTTTTATTGGATTTATTCGTGGAATATGCATGGAATTTGGAGTTAATAAGCTCGAGACAAAATTAACTGAGTGCTAAGGATTACAGTTTTATTCAATCGTGTTTTGTTAGTATATTGTTGCCATGAGAGTTGAGTGATAGGTTTCTTGGAAACTGTATCTTAATCCTTTTTTTTTTAATATTTCTTTTAAATTAATTATACTGTTTGAAAACTTTTATTTGCTGTTTTTACCTATTCCTACGGTGTTACAAATTGTATAGAGAGTAACCCCATTATTAATATAATTATCACTTCTCAAACAGAATTCGCTACGATAATGATAATAAAATTTTCATTAATTTTACCACAAAACTAAATAAATATAAATTAATTTAGCTTATTAATAAATATATAGACGATTAAACTAATACAGTATTTACATTTTTTTCCTATTTCTTAAATCTTTATTTTTAAATTATTAAGTCTTATAGTAAAAACTATAGGTTATCTAAATTTAATATCTAACATTCTTGAAAAATTAAACTAACCTGTAAATTAGTTACTATTTGAGCTTATACAGCTCAAGAAAGTTACAGTACTTTAGGTTACTTTTCTGCTAGATTGTTTACAAAAAACAACAAAAAATAGATTATAAATTTATTAGAGATCTATTCAATGTAGACTATACATAAAAAATTTTAAAGAATTCAAGAAATTTAGTAATATCATATAGTTATAAATACTTTATGACGTAATTAGTAACATGAACTTATTGTCATATCCAATTCAACGGACGTATTGAACAGAATCATATTTGAAAAAAAACCCTGACTCTTTTTATAGGGCCTATATAAAAGCGAAAATCGGTAAAGCAGGCTCTTATTTAATAATGAAAGATATTTATTTATTAAATTTTATAAAAATACTTTATAAATATTTTTATAAAATCCTATTAAATTAAACCGGATAAATTAAATAAAACAAATTATTTCATAAATGTATTTTTTTTGGGAGATAGAAGAGATGCAGATAAGCCCACGCCTTTGACTGAATTATAGACTTATTTTTTTTATATTTTACTAATAAAGTCTTTAAAATTTAATATTTTCTACACTAAAATTAAACCTGAATATAAAAGGTTGCATTTATAATTGTAAATTAAAAGTATAGGCCCTAAGTGTTACTATTTTATCATATTTCATTTGTTTTATATTTGTCGAATTTATTAATATCGCATCATCGTAAGTCACGAGTTCTCTTTCTTATTATAATCTTTATTTTAAAATTAGGAAGATCGAAAATATTTTAACTCATAAACTCATAAATAAAATTTATTAATGATATTATCTGATATTGAATTATTTTTGAAATAACGATATTTCTCTTATAAGCTTATGAAAATATTAATAAAAATTAATCAACGATAAAAAAGTAAAATAAAAGATAAGAAATATTATAAAGATTTTTTATTAAGAAACATGCTTCCTTTTAAGATGTATAACTTATATTTCAGATGTGTAACTTATATTTATATATGTTTCGATTATTTTAAATAGGAGAAAAAGGAGGAAAATTTATCTTAATTATTTTTCTATATACGAAGAATATTTTAAAAAGTCTTCGATAATATTTTCTTGGAACGTTTCTTGGAACTAGAACACGATACACGGATAATAAAATAAACATTTCAAAAGTCATTGATTTCCTACTTTGTCCATATTATTCTCATTCGTTAATTTTTATTTACTAATAAAAAGGAAAGAAAAGTATATTAATTAATGAACAGATAAGATTAAAATTATTTAAATTTTTATTTTTGGGGGATAAATTGGAATGCTAATAGATATCTTGATAATAGCTTTCAAAACAATTATTCATTTCTTATTTATTTGAAACCAATATCATTAATCATACACCACTCATATATAGATCTATATTTTAAACGTTTATTTAATTATATTTTATAAAGTTTAACTAGTGTTTAATTAAATTATTTAAAGTTTATAAGTTAATTGAAAATACTTTACAATTTAACAGTAAACTTTTATAGCTTGTATCAATTTATTTTATATCCCAGAAGTTTTAGCTGCTTAAAAACAGACTATTTTTTAAAATTATTATTACAGCTGTTCAAGAAGAAAGAGGTCCCAGAAAGAATAAGCGACAGAAAAGCATTAGAAATATAGAAACTAAACATTCTACATCAAGTCCCAACAGGAATGCTGTGACATCGCCGTATATTCTGTCGACATCTTTAGTGTTGAGCCCTTCTATAGTTCATGGGAAAACCTTTAATGAGACATCAGATGTAACGTTTAACCAAACACAAGGAAGTGCTTTCCGTAGAGTGATACCTCACAAAGATTTACATCCATTTTCTGTCTCTATGACTTCTATGACATTGAGTAATCAAAAATTTATAAAATATTTCTGTAATATAAATTATTAATAAGTTATATATTTATTATAATTATATTTATTATTATTTAGGTTCATTGCCTATTGGAAATCATTTTATTTTCAACGTGTCTGTTAACATATTGATAAATTGCATTAAAATGGCTCGTTCAAACAATATTTTTCGAGTTCTACCAATAGAAGATCAAAACAGCATTTTAAACGAAGTGTGGGCAGAATTATTTCTACTCCAAGCCGCTTATTGGCCAATCGATATAATAGCTTTAGCCAAACATTGGGAAGCGGAGTCGAAAATGGGCGTGGTTAAAACCGGTCAGGTCAACCTTTCAGTTAACGTGACAGACGTTAGTTCTTTTCTATTTATTTAATATTTTAAAAATGTCTTCTAAGACAATTAATGCTATTTTTTTCGCTTAATTAGAACGTTTTAATGAAAAAAATTCAAAATGCCATCGATCAATGTAAAGAATTAGAATTGGATCAAATCGAAAAATCTTTATTGGAATCAATAATATTATGCCGTAAAGGTGCGTTTAAAACGACATTAAATTAAATAATTAAATAAATAAAAATGGATAGAAATTGAATAGATGTTAAATTTTTTAAATAATTTTTTTCTTTTAGATTGCATTGTTAATTGCCAATACGTCGACGGAATGTTGGATCACGCTCAAACAGTCATGTGGCAATATATGATACATTCACGTCATCGCAGTGCCAATTATTTTGGAAAATCTCTCTTAGTTTTGCCGACATTAAGAAGTGTATCTCAAATATCGGTAGAAGATATTTTATTCAATCGCAAACGAAATATACTCTACAATCTTTTAAAAAATTTCTAATAATTTCATTGGAAAAAATGTAATAAAAATATAAATCTAAAACATAAATTATTGTGAATAATATAAAAAAAGAAATCTTTGCATGTAATCTCATCCTGCAGCCATATTGTATCCTTAGAGTGAATAAAATTATTTGTGTTAATTTTTCGTCTGTAAGATTGTTAGTTTTGTTATTAATTTAATTAGTAAATAACCAAAAATTTATAAAAATAAACAAGATTAAAAACTGATTCTGTAATGTTAATTCAAAACTAATCTTCTAAATCCGAATTTAAATCTATTTTTATGTTGAAAATAACTTTAAAACGTTATTACATTGTATACTGAATTTAAAATATAACAAAATAACATAATCTACTGTATATTTGATTAAAATAAATTTATTAAATTACAAAAGCAATTGTTAATAATGGACACTAAGTTTCAGAAAAATAAAAAATTTAGAAATGAATTTATTTACAAGCAAATTAAATATTATACGAGTCCCCAACTACCGAGAGACCTCATATTATTCTGTAAATTTAGTTTCTTAATATTTATTAATAAATAGTTATAAATGAAAGACATAAGTATTTAGTTTTCTCTATTTTTTATAAGAATTACAGACAAATTAATACTTTATTCATCACTGTATTATCATATTTTTTGGGTTGCAATTTGAAAAAATTGTAGATGTATAAATTCCCATTGCCGTCCGTCTGTCTGTCCTTCCCTAATCGCGAGAATAGACTTAGATAAAAGTCGAAAACAGACACGGAAAGCTTAGGGCGGGAGGCCCTGATTAACTATATATGAACTTACGATATGTGTATACTTATATTTGAAACGGAAATCACGTTATTTTAATTCAAACATTTTCCCCTGAAAGGAGTTAGATAGATGACTGACCGGCACGACTCTATTGCTAACAGAAAAAGTATGATGTACAG